AAATTATATATTCAAGTTAATCCATTGACTGCCAACTACGATATATCTCGTAGTGTATGTGCTGCAATTTTAGATTAATTACAAATGGTAAATTATTAAATAGGTTGAATAAAATATTTATATATATTTAAAAACAATTAATTATCAATTATTGTAAATACCATTACAATATTCTATCAGTAACTAAATATTATTATATTTTCCAACATTTAAGACAAGTCGCACTCTAAATATTTCTGCCAGTCAATGGGTTAATAACTTTAATTGATTGTAAGTTCGATGATGATTCATTGGACATTTTGTATATTCTTATTTAATTATTTCATTAAAATTTTTTTAAATTAATATTAAATATCAACCATAACGAAATATAATTTAAAAATGTTCACGACCGATTTATTCAGTTTTATTACTGCTAAATCAAATCTGAAGTAAATTAATATGAAATGTAAAGAAATTTTGTTGTTTGTTTGTTCTTTTTTTTCTTTTTTAAACAACACCACACGTGACAAAATTTGCTTAATTTTCTTTACAATGACCGCATTGATAACAATATAGTTAAGATTCTATTATATTCGTTATTTATTCCTATATCCGATGACTTACGAATAATAGAATATTCTCTATACATATGTACTTCTATACACACCTATCTAAGCATTCGTAGATATCTACTATGAAACGCAAATTCAAGAGAGAGAGAGAGTGAGAGAGAGAAAGCAAAACAATGGAGAGAAATTACGATGTAATCTTCGACAATGGACGACATAAGCGTTTCGATACGCGTTCGGTGTCCACTTGTTAGCACTGAAATCATACCTACTTACGTACATATCTACTCACATATACAACGCACACACACGTATAAGCATACACACATTAATTTACAATCTAAATACATATATAGATATCTATGTACTTATATACATATAATGTAGGTGAATATAAATACAAATCTACATATATACAATACATATACATTGACATATTGTACATGCAACATACACTACCAGTCAAAAGTTAATAATAATATATTAGTTTCTCTAAAACTCGAATATTCACCGATTCATTTTTAAATCATTAACGTCATTAAAATTAAAGTTGGTTTTTTTCAAAGAAAAAAAAACTCGAAGAAAAATACACGTTTCTTGATAACAAAAAAAAATAAATATACTATAAAATGTAAAATAAACATGGATGAGTTGAACATTTATTGAACGTAATGTAGAAACAATTCTTTTTCAATTCAAATTCACTTTTATTTATTGAAATAGTTCAATCTTATAAAAAAAAAAAAAAATAGGCTTAAAATTTTTCAACCCACTCTCGTACTACTGATAAGTTTCTACACCCAATTTTTAAGGAAAATACTACTTACTAAAATATCTTTTGTGACTTCTATACAAGAAAAATGAAAAAATAGTTAATCAAATTTCTAGAATAACTGGTACATGTTAAGGGTGTCGTTAAACATAAGGGTAATTTTATTTTATTATATATTATTTTATATATTTTATTTTATTTTATATATTTATTATATTATATTATTTTATATATTATTATTATAATTTACTCGTAAGAATTTTGACGACAAATAATTTTAACTCGATTATTCTAAATGTAATCATTTTTTTCATATAAATATGCTGTTTCTTTAGATTTACGTAATAATTCTTAACTTTTGGTTGATAGTGTATATACAAATCTATTTACATATACGATA